CCGTCATAGGCAACATGTAATTTTTATTTTTTGTCTTGGTTTTTATTGATTTCGAAAAAGCATTTGAGAAGTGAAGAACAAAAGCGTGTACAAACGAAAAAATATAACAACAATGCCATTGTTAATATGTTGGAGTAGTTTTGTGCTACTCTGATGTTATGCAGAGATGGAGTATATGGTCTTGCCCTAGGACATCGCAATGTTAATTGGACCATATTTTTTATATGAATTGTGGTTAATTTTCGAGCACATCTTGGTCCTTAGGGAGTACTCTTTACATACATGCATGGTGTAGTCGCAATTTTTGCAGGGTACATGGTGAAATAGTGGAACCGGTAATTCCAAATGTACAGCTAATCTACGAAATTTTCTGATGTCAAATAAACGAAAAGAAGGTTGCGTAAAAAACATACCTATGCGAATGTTGTTAAAAAATCACTGTTCCTGCATTTTTTGATTGACTGTATATACATTATGTACATATGTGTGTGCATACTTATGTATATTTGTTTACATATGATTAAGCCATGAAGCCATATGTATCTGTGTATCATATGTACATATATAGTCCATTTAACTTAGCTTAAGAAGACAAACTTTTTCTGAATGTTTATCCACTAATTTGACATAACTTACAACTTTTCATTTAATGATTGAGTTCGTTAGCGTTGATTGGGGAAGAATGAATCAATCGTGTAAATAAAATTGATCCGAATTGAAGTTCATTGTATCAAAAGGGGAATGAGAACACCGGATTCCAATTGTGGTTGTTTCCAACTTTTGAAGTAATTACTTAAATAAATAATCCCTGATTAATTTATTAGTACTCGTGTTATTATTTGAACAACTAAGAACCTGGATGTCCTTTTTTGTGCTTTGCAATCGAGATTGCAATTTAAAAACGATTCAATGACTGTTATTAAATCACCTGCTCCTAACAATTGGCCGACTAGATATCTGATATCATCCACCATATTCCATTGTTTTATTGCCACTTTTGACGATAAATATCAGCACAGAAATATGAATGGCACGTTGTGCAATAAAACTTAACTAGTTGGCGGTTGTACAATCGTTTCTGCTGTTACCAATACAAGAAATACGACAACATACATATGTATTTGCATATATATATATATATATATTTATGAGGATGTACATGCAAATGGAATGTCACTGTAGGTGGATGTCTTTGTATGTATGCATGTTGGTATTCATTAACATAAGTGATATTTGGCGCTAAAAACACATAGTTTTCCCTCACTAGAAGTGTCTTTAATCTAAACCCCTTTAACACAACATAAACAATTTAACAAAATACTTTTCCGCTATTCGATAACGTATGTTAATATTCTAGCTAAAATAAAATGTACTATTACATCAAATAAAATCCTCATAATCAGGACATTTTTATTGCTCTGATAAATAACCTCTGCAAGTTAATTAGAAATTTGATAAGGGGAAATGTGTGCCATGTTTGTGTACATGTACATACATACATACATACAAAATCATATGATTGCACCGGAATTTATCGTCGCCTAGTACACATCGGCAACTCGACCCTCTGGGGTAGTTTTTGCGGCAACAGCAATTTAGCCACCTACTGTTAGGCACAAATTTAAACTACCGTCATTCGTCCCTTCATACATAGCCATGTAAATACGTACACATACATACCTACATACATACATAGCATGTACAATACATATATGTTTACACAGAGCCGTGAGAACCACATTAGAAAAATTACGAAAAATTACATTACAAAACAATATAATCAAAGATTTTTATAAATAGCACTTGATCGGTCAAATCTAAGAAATTTATTGCTCCTTTCATGAGAAAACTATGCGGGGGGG